TTATATAGTATGCATATTCCTTTAGGAATCTTATCATTTAGGATGATTGTAGCCACCACTATAGGCAGTGGTGTCCAGATCTACATCTTCGGTTTAGTGTCCTCCCACTTTGCATGCTATGGTTCCATCCTATATTGACTCTAGAAGACTGCTAGTTTTATATACTGTTGTCACCTGAAAATTTCCATAATAATTAAGTTTACCACTTTCTTTTTTTCCACCTTTTCTGTCATTATATCCTTCCAACGTGCCAGGCTCCTTGGCTATAGAAGCTGAAAATAATTTTCACTGTTCTTCTCCCCTTTTGTTCCCAAATGGGAGCCACCAGCCACCAAGAACTGCTGCATCTTCCTTGACAAGGCCTCTTGGAATCATGTTTTTCTATTTCCCCATCTGGCCTAGGAGCCCAGGCCTTTATCTATTTATGTCTAGATTACTCCACCTGCCTCTTACCCAATTTTCCTTCACTTTCTTAGAAACCCAGAATATTCTTTTGCCTTTTGATCTTTATAAAATCATAAAATTTCTTACAAGGGACTTGCATGCATTATAATCATATTGGATTAAATCAAATATAGTTTGCATTTTCTCTAACGATACTGCCAGCCATCACACCAAATTAATTTTTCATTTCCAGCCAAGAAGACTTTACTCTCCATTCAAGCTACAGCTCTACTGCTATCTCCTAGGCTTGCTCACCTTTCTCCTGAGTTGCAATTTTCTTCCCATTCCTCTTTCTGAATGCACATCTCCAAAATGTCCATCACTAGAGTGCTGCAGTGGCTCATGCATATAATCCCAACACTTTGGGAGGCCAAGGTGGGAGGAATGCTTGAACCCAGGAGTTTGAAACCAGCCTGGGCAATATAGGGAGACCCCATCTCTACAAAAAAAATTAAAAATTAGCTGGCCATGGCGGCACATGCCTGTAGTCCCAGCTACTCAGGATGCTGAGGTGGGAGGGTCACTTGAGGCCAAGAGGTCGAGGCTGCAGTGAAATGTGATTGTGCCACTACACTCCAGCCTGGGTGACAGAGCAAGACCCTGTCTCAAATAAAATAAAATAAAAATAAAAATAAATAAATCCATCACTTATATACAGCCAGGGACAACTTTGCGTGCCATAACATTTAAAGTGTGGAAGAATCACTCATTTAGTTGGCATATGTTTGGCCTCAATTTAGGTATTCTGTCATCAAAAGTTTAACTACCATGTTTGGCCATTTTTTTCTCCTTTTCCTTTCATTTATTAATAAGTGTTGTGATACAGTTTGGATATATATGTTTGTCAGATTTGAACCCCACCCAAATATCATGTTGAATTGTAATCCCCAATGCTGGAGGCAGGGCCTGGTGGGAGGTGTTTAGATTATGAGGGCTCACTCATGGCTTGGTGCTGTCTTTCTGATAGTGAGTTCTCATGAGATCTGGTCATTTAAGAGTATTTGGCACCTCCCTTCCCCTCTCTCTCTCACTTGCTCCTGCATTCTCCATGTGACACACCTGCTCCCTCTTCATCTTCCACCATGATTGTAAGTTTCCTGGTGACATGGTTTGTCACCTTTGAAGCTGACATGGTTCCTGTAAAGCCTGCAGAACTATGAGCCAATTAATCCTCTTTTCTTTATTAATTACCCAGTATTAAGTATTTATAGCAATGCAAGCATTGCCTAATACAGTTTGTAATCAATTTTCTTATCTATAAAAAGGGAATAATAATAATTATCTTGAAGAATATAATGAAATCGAGAAGTACTGAGTTATAAGTTTGTATTTGTTCATTTGCTTTCTGTGGTCTTTGTGTTAGTGAAACTAGAGCAAATGAGATATTGCCTCATTTTTATTTATAGTCATGATTTGAGTTCAACAGAAAAACACAATAATGGATTTCTATCATTTCACATTCATGTAAGTTGAATGAGTGGCACTTTCTGAGTTTCTGCCTACTACAAACTTACACAGACTCATAGTAGCAAATCAGATGGCCCGTGTCTTGGGCCATTTGGGTTCTTCTGCCATGTATACAAGTCTAATTTGAAACCATTGTACCTTAAACTCTTAACTAATTGCTCAAACTTAAAGTCATTATTTCAGATCTTTATTAAAAATCAGACTTTGCCCTATAAAATGCCCATAATTTTTAGCAGCTATAATATCTGCTGTGTAATTTTCTCTTTCAAAAAATGTCATACTCAATTTAATATTGGTATGTTGTTTGCAACTGACTGAGGGAGCTATGTGAAGCCATTACAAACTCTAGTTTCACAAGAATTGGACTCTGAAGCCTGCACCACTGACACTCTGGGTCTGTTTTTCTGACACAGTCCCACAGCATATTTCTCATACCCTGAGGGCTACCCTAGGGGATGTTCTGTCATGGAGTGAAATGGCATTGACTAAAATGAAAATTTTCTTCTCTGTGAGAAAATGTATTGAAAAGAAACCAATCACAAATGCAACAAACCAATTAAATCAAAACAAAACACACAATTCTGTGAATTAATTAGGTAGAGTGAAATATACCAGACTGATAGTCTTTTTAAAAGATACCTTGTACACAATTAGAAATATTATGAGCTGAACCAGTTGGCTCAGGCCTTGTAATCCCAGCACTTTCAGAGACCGAGGCAGGGGATTGCTTGAGCTCAGGAGTTCAAGACCAGCCTGCAACATGGCAAGACCTTGTCTCTACTAAAAAAAAAAAATTAGCTGGGCATGGTGGCACATGCTTGTGGCCCCAGCTACTCAGGAGGCTGAGGCAGCAGGATAGCTGGAACCTGGAATATCGAGGCTGTAGTGATCTGTGATTGCACCACTGTGCTCCAGTCTGGGTGACAGAGCAAGACCCTGTCTCAGGAAAAAAAAAAGTATTATGAAGGAGCTATTTTTATACAATATATAAAGGATATGAAAAAATCATGCTTTGAGTATTTCTATAAATTCACAAAATAATGTTTGCAGAATTTGCAACCACAATCTTGTTTATTACATAATTTTTAGGTGGTAAAATATTTTCGTGAGGAAATCCCAACTGAGAAGTTGATTTCAGAAAAATTCATCAAATAGGAATACGATATTAATGAGTAAAATTGATTAATGAAGTAAAATTATTGACTATCAGGAAAAGAGTGAATATGCAGCAGATTAGGAAATAATCGACTGTGGCAGAGAATGACTGTATCACCACAGAAATGAATTTTATTTCAGTTAAGGTATAAAGGCCCTACTTACCTAGTCATTAACATTCTTTTATTTTCCTTATACCTTGATGTCTCCAGTAAACTGTGTGAAACTGGATGTGGTTTCTCCACTAGAGCGTAGATGCAAGATGTTAACTGTAACTAAATGTTAAACTCCATATGGCATATTAGAACAATTTATTATTGGATCTCTTAGTAAATCTTTTTAAATGTTGAGGTCAAGTTTCCAAGTAACTCTGATGTGTCAGACAGGGTCCTAAATATATAGGGAAGTCCTTAACTTTAAGAAGCTCATAATTTAGTTAGGAAGCGAAGACTAGCAGATAGATCTCTGCCAATGCAAGGTGGTCAGCGATACATAGTGGATGAATAGAGACATAGACTTGGGGAAATGAAAGAGTTGTTTGGCCCTTAGAGGACTTTTTGGTTTCATTGAAGTAAGAGAGCAGATTAGAGAAAGCGTTTCATGCAGAAGAAATATTTGCAAAACTCAGGGGTAGGAAGCCTTTCTATTTGGGAGCCAGTGATAAATAGACAAATTGCCTGGGGAAGATTATTATGTAGAAAGTAATGAGAGATAACAATTTTAAAAGGAGATTGGGGTCAGACTGGGGAAAGCTTTTTTTGCTAATCTAACTTTTTTATCTAGGTAGGTGGCATGGACCACACTGTCCCAGATTTATGATGATCATGTCATATAGAATATAATCAGAAATCTAAAGAAAGTGAATGTATGTTAGATAGATCTGTCTCTCTTAAGATAAATCTGTCTGTTTTTCTTAAGATAAATATCTCTCATCTAGATATTTCAGTGAAAGTCAGAGTTGGTTGACATGAAACATAATAAAGATCTGGCCATCTAGTGATGAAGTAAGTATTAAAAGTAGAATACCAACAGAACTAATTTGGATTTTTAAAAATAAATGTGTTTGGAAAATCTCATGCTTAAAATGCATTCATGAAGCAATATTTATAGCATGTATGACTATAAAAATATATTAAACATAAACATAAATCTTTCTCTTTTATGTGACTTTTATTATCTGCCCATCAAATTTAGTTAATTATCAAAGGTGACTCTATTTAATGAAAGCTGTGTCCCAACAAAACCTATTTTTTTTTTCAGCGAAATAGCCAAGAATCAACAATTTACTAGTTATTTTGTCCCAAACTATTACCATGTGTGTTTGGTATGTTAACAATTTAAATATACACATTAGGCTAAACATCAAGCACCTGTTAGCAGTGGAAACTGAAACATTTTGATGCTAAAAAATATACAAGATATTTAGATGCTATTTCATTGGTTGTCAAAAACAGTGACTACTGCAAATAATTAAATATAAAATATTGTGCCAGGTCCTCTCAGGGAAATGTGAAAATAATACTGACGATCTCATTGTCATTGTTGTGATTTTACTGGAATTAAACAAAAGCCAGAAGTTATAGATTTATGACTGCCAATACTATCTTTGGATAGTTACAATACAGTATGTAAAATTAAAGATGGCTTTGTTTAAAAGACTGCCATAAATCAACAAAACCCAACTGTGTCTGGTAGACATGGTAGAGAGAATGGCAATTTTGAGAGAGGAGTGCTTCTAAAGGCGTTTCCTTGGAGGTTCTGAGGTTTTTTTTTTTTCTCCACATTACTGAAAGGCCAAGAAATGTGGTGTGATCACTATAATTCCTACAACAAAACTTCCACTTATAATAGTTACATGTTCCCAAACTATTTTTCTTCTGTCTGCCATGCTGGCTTCCATATTCCATGGACAACTGTCATCTTTCTTCTTTTTCTGTAGTACAGCAGCCCTCATGCTGCTATCCATTGAGTAGGTAAACCACCAATTCATAGGTGGCCATCATAATGGCTGTGTTTGGAATCTGTCTCACTAGATGAGTTGTCAGACCACGGTAAAGAGACCCATAACCACCTTCTTGAACGAGCAAAGCTAGTGTCTGAAAAAAAGATCTGTATTTTGTTCCCTCTTCACATAGTCTTGTTCTTACAACTTCATGTGGATATGCTATAGTTGTGGCACAAGTTTTTGAGGTGGCAGCAGCTAGCATCATTCCCACAAAATCTGATGCTTCTTTCACAGACTCTTCATCATTTTCCATTGTAGAAGCAGTCTTACATTCCAGTAGTTTTTACTTTATACTTTCATAAATAACAAAATGGGTAACAGTCTCTATATACCAGCATATGAAGCAGACATGCCCCTATAAAATCCTTTTAGTCCATCTGTCTGATACACTTTACAAACACATTCAAAAGCACCCATTCGCCTTTCCCCACGGTTCCTTGCATGAAGCTGTAACCGAGTCTTTATAAGCCAAATGGGGTTGGTTGCTGTGATTGCAGTAAAACCTGCCATTGCCGCTGAAATCATGTGTACTTGGGTAGAATCAGGATCAAATACATCATTCAACTTTTCCTTGCAGTTTGAATAAGCAGCAAAGTATATTGCTCTGGAAGGGGCTACCCCCACTAAATTGGGGCCTAATCCTCTAAACAAGGAACGTGGCCCTTCTTTTTCCAAGATCAACTTTAGGCAATGAAGAGGTCCAGGAGACACTATTCGGTTGACACTGGCTCCAGCCATGGTGTTCAGGTGAACTTCAGAAATATAAAGTGTCACAGAAGATGACTGCAGTCGTGTTTTTACAACTTCCAGTGGACATATCAGAATAGCTCCCACTGTACCACCACATACCCCGGCAAACAGATGCACCAGCGTGTCCCTCTGGCTCATTCTCTCTCCCGCATGTCCTCCGGGCGCTGAGGTGGGACGCGGATCTGGCCGCCCGCTACGGCAGGCGGCTTCGGTCCCGGACTGGAGACGCACAGCGCCCCTGGGACGGCGAGGAGAGCTGGCCGAGACGCGGCTGCAGAAAGCAACCCGGCACAGCCCTCCCCAGGGCACTCTAGCCGCCCCGCCGCCTGCCTAAGCACGCCCACAAAACCTATTTTCTTTTCCCACAATGATCTATACAGAGTTATGAGATTAGGTACAGAATATTTTGCTCACTTTCATGACCACCACCTATAGTACAAGAACTAGAAGACAGTGGTTTCTCTCCTTCTTAGCAGTTCTCCAGATTTACTCTGAGTAAGCATCACCTGGGAGTGACAGTCAAAACCGACTCACCTGGGAAACTAAGGTTTATTCAGTCCTCACTGGGCCTGGGAATCTGCATTTTAGTGAATGTACCAGCTGATTCTGAAACTGATAATCTGAGGACTACTTTCTGAGAAACATTGCCCTAGAATGAAGAGGAATACATACGTTTAGTGTAGAGCAATCTCTCATTCATAGGCAATTGTCTTAAATATTATTGACAGTTAAGTAAATGCCTCAGTGTTATACCCAGTTAAGTAAATGGCTCAGTGGTTGATGCTATTGTTCCACTCCTACATCTTTGAAGGACTTCTCTCAGGAAGGCCCTATGAACTTAAAACCTACAACAGGGAAGTTTGTGAGGGTTTGTCACACATTTATAAAGCAGGGTTCTATGCTTCTTAAAGCCCTGGCTGTAAATATGCTTCTCTCTGTTTATCCTGCTTATATTATACCTTTCCTGAGTGAAAGCCCAAGTGAATTTAATTAGCAGAGCATAGATAGAACTGACATACGGCAATCCAATATATGGAATTTTGTCATAATACAGTTTATGGAATAGGGGGAGAATTTGATAAAGACTCCTCAAATTCACTTAAACAGAACTGAGAGGTGTCCTTGTACCTATTTACAGGGTACTGCCCTCAGCACAGATCCAGAAGAATGGCCAGTTCCTGCATGATCTCCTGGGAGCCCAGGCTCTGATTTGACGTAGGGAAAAGGGCCAAGAAAATCACTGTAACTTGGGGAATGGCTTTGCAAACCCAAGAAACATTCATTTCCCCATTTGTTAGTTGAAAAGGAGTAGAGAGAAGATGCTGACTCATGCTGACCCTGTAGTGGCTGTGATGCTAAAATAGCCAGTGGCAGGAACAAGAAGAGAGAAGCCCAACCCTCATTAGAGTCAATGGAAGCAATTCCAATGTTAGTAACAGCTTAAAGCAGCAAATGAGCCTACAAATCTGTGAGTGCTGCTCCCTAACTGTTTTTTTCTCATCATACCAGCATGTACCACAATGGACCTAATTTTTGAGATTTTCAGTTTGGATTTAAACGAAAGCTTATGAGATCCAGGACACTTTTTGTCATGGTCTTTCAGATTTCTCTGTGTCTAAATATTGCCTTATATCCAGTACGGACTTACTAGAGACTTCGTTGTTTTTAATTTTGATCTATCTGCAGTATTATGATTGCTTTTCTTAATGCTTAATCAGGAAGGATATGATTACTTTTTCTGTGAATGTATGTATGTTTTTAAAAGTTTGCCATTTTTTACCATAATTTTATCATGTCTTGGCATTAAAGAATACAATGATCTCTATATGGATACCATTTCTATGGTACTTCTATTCCATATAATGATGATGCTGTTTTCATTAAAGTAATAAAAAAATCTATACAGCATATGAGCAGGATTTGAAAGCTGGCACATCTAATTATCATAGTAAGGAAAGAGCATGAATGCCAATTTTATATTTAACAAAAGGCATCCTTAATTGTTGGTGGTCCCACACATGGTAGATTGACAATAAAGAACTAGTGTAACACATTTTGGTCTTAAACATAAAACAAGGCAACATAGATTGTTTTAAAAATGAAGTTTGTGCTAGTCTGAGACCTCAGGTATTAAATGTCTTCAGAAACTGGTGCTTTCTTTGATCCCTGAGAAGGATAAGAAGAGGTTAGGAGGTAGATGGTCACATAGATAATGGTACTCTAGTATAGTCCTTGATTTATTACATACAAGGAAGATGACAGTCTATGGGGATTTTTCAAGCCAAAAGTCTCCTGCCTTGCAAATGATCATTGAGAGATTACAATGTAACTCCTGTTTAAAATGTGAAAGCTGTTGGCTCTATAATTTCTAAATAGCATCCTTTTTTATTTTGATGATGTTTTCACTCATATTGTACGTATCTCCCTGTTTAATATTTTAAATTTGATGTGTACTTCAGAAGTGATCACTGTTTTGTGATTTACAACCTTGGAGAAAAATAACATAGTAGTCATAACTTTGCAGTTTTTTGTGATGCATGAAGATCAGATTTTTTAATGTTGGTTAATGCTTTGCTAATTAAAGTATGCATGTTAATTAAAGCAGAGGCTAATGTTAATTACCTATATTAATGGAATCTCATGTAGCACCTGCCTGAAGCAATGGGTTCAATTTTCAAAATATCTCAATTAAGGCTGAAACTTTTGATTTGCATCTAGTAGGGTTTCAATTAACTGCATTGAAAACTTAAATAACACTCTTAGGGGTGCAAAATATCAGTGATTATATGAAGCACAGTGGAGTTTGGTAGGTTCATTTATAGTCTTCTTTAAAAAAAAAAAAAAGCCTAACTATATTTCTTTCCTGTTTACTGACCAAAATTCTATTTACTCACCAAGATGCAGTGAAAACACCACCTCTTCCAGGAAGTATTTTCCAATTCTCAGCCAACTACCAGAGTTTCAGTTTGTTGTTCTTATTTATTGTATATTATTCTGTTTTGTATTATAGTTAGTTGTTAGAATCTGTGTCCTTCGCTAACTAGAAGCACCTTGTCTTTATTCCTTACAAAGATAAGCACATTTGACAAGACACTAGCATATTTTGTAAGTTGAAGACACTCTTTAAGTATGTGTAAAACCAGTAAGTACGTTTATTGACTACAGTGGATATGAGTGAACTTTTAGCACATGGTGATTCCACTGTTGCTACATTCATGGCTGCTCCAAGTAAAACATGAAGTTGCTGTTTGAGATCTTATTGCTTTATCAAATAAAAGATTGACATTTTCATTAATTTCTGATAAATATAAGCTGGAATGGGGAAGAAGGTACCTGTTCAAGTAAAAATAGTGTTGTGAAACCAAAGAACATGTGTTTGTGCTGTCAGGGATGATATTAACATCCTCTTTTGGTCCTAGATTTGTATTTTGACTGTACTGCAAGCAGATCTGGCTTGTGACCATAAGCGCAAATACTTTAAACAAGCTGTCTATTTAAGACAGCCATCGAGGGTTGGTGTCATTTTGGAAGATAAGACATGGAGTTTCATGTGGTGACAGCTCAAATCTTAAAATAATAAATTAAAAATATAGATTACTGGAGACAAGTACATTGTAATTAGTATGGATATCAGTTTTCCTGAACTTACTGTTATGTTTGCCAAAGTCCCAATAACAACCATTCCCACCGGGCCTTCGGAAGGGATTATGGGCTAATGGTACTAACCTTTTTCACATCTAGTATAATGATGGTTTCAGAAAAATAGTTTCCATAATTGAAGGGAGCAATAATCTCCTCAATAAGTATATACAAATAGATTACACACTGATTTACAGTCCCTGGAAATCTACATTGATAACTGCTGTGCCTTGGCAGAATTTGACTCTGATAAGTTACCATCAGTCTCAGAGGGCTAAGATTTGTCTTCATTCAGCTGTAGAGAATATCAAACAAACATAAGATTTCCATGTATAAGGTGTAACCGACAAGGTGACACAAAGGAAGCATAACTGCTTACTGTACTGATGTGCTATTGGCATGCTGGTTAAAAAAAAATACAAAGAAAGGTGAAAGGGAATCGTATTGATTGGGCAATAAGATGTTAGCTGTTGTCTTAATGGCAGGACCTGTGATAGCTGGAAATAAGATGTGAATGTGTCCATTAATGAAGACTGATCCAGGTTTAGATTTGATAGTGAGAGCTCACGTATTTCATGTCACACCGGTTTAATATTGGCTAGTTAGTAGATGGAATAAATGCAACAACTAGTTGGAGAAATGTGACAAATGTGCATATCAGACTTTCCAGGATGAGGCAGTGGGCCAGGTCTTTATAACTTGTAGAGCAAAGTCACCAAAGCAGCCATTCCCCATTGTGCCACCATTAAGGTAGCAGATGGCAGAGCATTAGCAAAAAGACATTGAGAACAGCTGGAAAACATCTGGTAGGAAGTGACAACCTAATGGGTATGCTGGGTTGTTCCTAATTGTGGGCAATCACTCAAAAAGCCTGGAAAGAAACTTTAGTGTGTTGGTTGGTGGGAGGAAGAAGTTGGTCAAAGCAATAAATTCTAGTTCAGGAATTTGAGGGAATTCTGAAAAGAAGTCACTTTAGAGCCTGGCCAAATAGATTACGGAGCATTCATTTGTTTCCTCCCAAGTTCTAAATAAGAACAAACTTTTTAAAGGAGTTCGTGAGGCCTCTCTGGACCTGGAATCTACTTTAGGAAGATATTTAATTCATGAATACTATTTAAAATGTGAGATTCTGAGAGTATATGGAAAGGTTAGATGTTCATAGAGAATATGGAAATGCTAATTAAACTGGGGTGAGGGAAGTAGAGTATTTAACAACTCAATTCACCATTCCTGTTTCTTAATTTACTATCTTATGACTTTTCTGGGACCTAGATAAAATTTAAAAACTGTTTTGGCTATTTCTAGGTCTATATTTTTTCTTTTCCCCCCCTAATTCCAGCCATTTGTCCTTGTCTGTCTGTATCTCATTGCTCACTCTCCTGCTTTCTCACAAGGATCACCTAACTTTTCATAACCTCTCTATCTTTCAAGACTCACCACTGGGAGAGTAACATGTCATTTTGGGAAATATAGAAATGGCAAATGGGCAGAAAGGAGGTCAGAGCGAACAGGTATAGTGTCTCCAGAAAGGAATACTAGGAAGTCAAAATGCAGAGGAGCCAAGGGCTCAACATGTGCTGCAACTCCAGCCCTAAATTTCTAAATTACTGCAGGACCCCCTATAAACCCTACATATCAATAAATCATGATAATTATATAATAATAAATCCTGCTACTGATAGGGAACTAGCAATCAG